CTGTGTCAGCAATGATAATATATTTAAAAAAATAATTTATTTTATAAAGTTAAAATTTAAATTTTAAAATTTAAAACTTATTTAGTTTATTTTTATAGGAAGGGTTTTATGTTACGTCAATTTGAACTTGCTCGATCTGTTTAATTGCACCCTTATATTGCAATCGCATTTTTTTGGCCCAATTGCTGTTTTTGTTTGTATCTTTCTAATTTATCTACTAGGTCAATCTAGTTGGTTCTTTGCGCCTAGTTTTGGTGTAGCGGCTATATTTAGATTCATCCTCTTTTTTTAAGGGTTTCATAATTGGACTTATATTAAAAATGATCTAAAAACTTGACTTTAAATGAAAAATACATCAATTTAATAAAATTTTAAAATAACAAAAATATAATGGAATACAGTTAATTCCTTATGACCAAACAAAAATAATAATGTATTTTTACGAATATAATTTTGAAAAGTCTTATTTTCTTTTGTAGGTCTTCTTAGCGAAAACTTTATGTGTAGATTGTAATAAGTGACAGTTACTTTCTGTGTAGATTATAATAAGTGGCAGTTATCAATATGTTTTTTTTTTTATGATCAATCAAGGATACAGAGGTACGAGCCTATAGAACAGATCATGTTCAAGTAAGGTCGTTATGAAAGTTAACAATATATTTTCATAAATTATAACATAATAGATATTATGGATTAAAATCATTTTTATATACTTAAACTAGGGGTGACCTGGGTTACGCCCGGGTTACGCCCGGGTTTTTCGTTGAAATTTTAACTATATATGTTGTATGTTATTTTGATATATAAATATTATAATCTATTATAAAATATAAGTAGTTACACAATTATATATTTATTTTAAATTATTTATTGTTTTTGTCTTTCGAATTTCAGAAAATTAATATCCAAATTTCGTATGTCACAGATTATCAATATGTGTTTTGCGTAGAATTGTTATGTATTGTGATTCATCTCGATTTTTTTTCTGTATTTGTTGTGTGTTATTATTTTTTTTTTCATTTTTTTTGTAAAACATTGTTTGGTTATTTGTTACTCATTGTTTACTGTTTGAATCTTTTTTTGATAATTATTCTAAATTTGATCTTATTTACCTAAAATGGAAAGAAAATTTAGTGTGTGAATCTTTTTTTTCTTAGGTTTGATGAAACGTAAAGGAAAAAAATATGGTAATAGATTTTTCGTCTTTCCAAACTTATAAACTTCTTTATTCATTTTGAATATTTTTAAATATTCTGTAACTTTTACCTAAATATTAGATATTTATTAAACTTTTCATTAAACATGGGGAAAAAACTTTTCATTAAACTCAAGTTATATGACATAGTATAATTAAATTTTAATTATTTTATTTTTATATCTTGTTAGTTCTTGGTTTTTAAATTATTTTCATTATGTATTAATTGTTAATTATTTTATATCATTTTGTATTCTAGGTTAACCTTATATTTGGTAGTAAAAAGGGAACCAAAAATCTGTGAGATTCAATATTTTTATTTTTCTGGTATAAATCTAATGAAATGTATAAAGATTAATAGCGTGAATTGATTTATCCTCTTTCTCATGAATTTTATTTATTATAATTATATATTTATTTGTTTTAATTCTATTATATATTTTCACTAAATGATTATTTTCTTATTATAATTATAAATAATTTTATTTATTATAATTATAATTATTTGTTTTAATTATATTATATATTTTCACTAAATGATTATTTTTTTTAACAAAAAAATCTTAATGTTAATTTTTTTTTGGTTTCATAAAAAATAAAATATTAATTATAATGATTTAGAAGTTATTAAATTGTAAGAAAGTTTTGGTGTATTTAGGGTTCATTTCATGTTTTTTGAGACATGTTATACGGATCAATGTAATATATTTGTGTTTTTTGCAAGTTCTATTCTCAAGCCTATGGTATTATGTCTAATTTTTCTCCAAACTTATTCATCAAAACTATCAATCAAGTGGAAAGATATTTACTTCCATTTACTTTTTATTACAGTTTCAAAAGAAATAAATGCATACTCACCGTTGTGCTAGGTATAGTGAATGTAACAGTATTTTCTCATTTTCCTTTTCTTTTTCATTTTATTTTTTTTATTATATTTGATCGTTAAAAACTATGAGATCTTAGCGGCCACTGTAGTGGTGTTATGAGGTGATAGATTCTGATCCAGGATGGTGTTCAGCTAATGAAATATTATTTTCTCAGGTTATACGCCTGATATTCAGATTTATTTTGTCTTCATATTGTGTGTATTCGTTTCAAGATAATTGATTGTTTTTTCTGATTCTATTTGATCGGAAAAAACTGTGAGATCTTAGCGGCCACTGAAGTAGTGTTATGAGGTGATAGATTCTGAGCCATGATGGTGTTCAGCTAATGACATATTATTTTGTCAGGTTATACGCCTGATTTTATCAGGTTATATGCATGATATTAAGATTTATTTTGTCTTCATCTTGTGTGTATTCGTTTCAAGATAGTTGATTATTATCTTATGTTTAGTTTGTCTATAATTATTTTTTACAACAACATACAATATAATATATGTGCGAATCTTTGTATTTGTTTGATGTGATCTTTTTCTTCTATAATGTGCTACTATTAAAAATCTAGTGATACACACATAAATATATATATATATATATATATATATATATATATATATATATTCAAATTTAGTGAGTATCTGATTTTTCTTAAATTATTGAAAATAAGAATTTTATATAAATTATTTCTAACATTTGTTAATGTTGATAAAATAAAATATCTAAGAATATAAATTATGGATTATTTTCAGCTAATTCATGTGGGAATCTTTGTATTTGTTTAATGTGTTTATTTCTTTTGATTTAATTTGTATTCTTATTTTTCCTGTATATTTAATGCATATTAATTCTTAATATGCTACTATTAAAGATTTAGTCATATACATAAATATATATATATATATATATATATATATATATATATATATATATATATATTCAAATTTAGTGAATATCTGATTTTTTTTTTAATTTGTTGAAAATAAGAATAACATTAAGATTCACTATTTATATTTTGTTATAAATACTTGTTGATTCAGCGCGATGGTTTAGTAACAATTTCTTCCACTATTTCTTACCTAAAATAAACAATGTAAAGCCAAAAAATTAATGTAAGAATAAGGAAAAAATAATAATATAACAGAACATTTTTGTATTATTGTTTTCACAGATAGTTCACCACCAGTGTGAATAATCAAAACATCTACCAACCTAACAGTATGCATAAACTCTCATTTATTAGCAAAATATTTTCTTGTACCCATATTAGGCCTGAGCATTTTAACCTGGACTCGAAAACCCGACCTGGAACCGACTCGAAAATATCCGATTCAAAACCGAATCGAAAATTTATAAGTACCTATTGGGTCTAAATTTCTTTTACCCGAAAGAACCGAAATCGAAAAGAACCGACCCAAATAGATCCGGACCCGAAAAGAACCGACCCGAATAGACCCGACCCGTTAAGAACCGATTTGTACCCGCCTTAAAAACATATATATCCAAAACTATGATTTTTTGTGCTCTATTTTATATATACTATTTTATGATTTAATTAAAATATTTTTGGTTAACAACATTTATTATTATTTCGTAACATTTTTGAAGCAATATGAAGCTTTAAAATGAAAAATTTTGAGTTTATAAATGTTTTATTTTAATTATTAATAGTTTTATTTAAGTTATTTTGTACAATTTTAGATATATATGATAAATATCGACTAAATTTGATGGAGTTGGATATGTCATGTCTTTTTCAGATCCTAAATATCTGAATTCGACCGGGATCCGATATAGACCTGAAAAATTGCGGATATTTTATGGGTAATATAATTATAGACCCGAACTGACCTGGACCAGAGAAGAACCGATCTGAACCCTCCGAAAATTTCTAAGTACCCATTGGGTTTAAATGTTTAAGACCCAAAAGACCCGGATCCGAAAGGAACCGTTCCGAACCCGAGTCGAAGACCCGAACACCCAGGTCTAACCCATATGTTGACAGATTTTTGTATAACAATATGTAATATTTTGTAATTTAATTGATTTGTAAGAATATGTAATATTATATTGATATCATTTTGTTTTGTCATGATCCTCTATAAAGAAATATGAAAAGCTAATAAAACAGATGGCTTTTACTGACACCTGAATACTTCACCTGAAACTTTCCCATCCATCTCTTTCACATCTTATCACCATTGCTTCACCTCCGATTCAGAATCTTGAGATTCTATCTTTTCTTCACTTTCTTAGACAAACCATCAAGACTTGTATTTTTTTTTTCCATTGTGGGTCTATATATTTTCAAATCCTGAGATGTCTTACTCTGACCCAAACCAAAACCCAATTCCAGAAACGATTAATGACACAAACTCGACTGAAGCCGTGCAACAATTCAAACTGTACCACGCTCTTATCTTCTCCATTCCCATTTGTTTCACATTTATTGTCCTCTTTGTCTTCTACGTCATTTATCTCCGTCGACGAAGCAGCAGCGTCGACTGGTCTTCTCTTGGAATGCGTGGCGGTGGTAGCTTTGTTTCCACCAACAATCTCTCAAAGGTAACAACTCAATCTTCCTTTTGAGGTTATTTTTTTCTTTGTCGATTTGGTAGATTATTGTGGGCTTTATAAAAATGTTCTCTTCTCTTTTTACTCTTACAATATTTGATGAGTTTAGTTCTGTAACATTTTGTCCAAACAAATATGGACAGGCTGAACTAGGGCTGACCAAAGAATTGAGAGAGATGCTTCCCATTGTCATCTTCAACGAGAGTTACACAATAAATGACTCACAGTGAGTTTTCATTTTACTTTCTTATTTTTCCCTTGTTAATTGAGTTTTTTTTTCTAGATATTTGAAAGGCTTATCATAAAAAGTTATAGTAATCGAGAGAGTTATTGTACGTGATATGTTCTATTATCCATTGCGTGTTAAGTTACTTGTCCCTTACGAGTAACGAACTTGTGACTGGGAAATGGATAATGCGTCTTTGGTCAAAATTGAATCAAATTAAACCGTTAGGTGTCTACATGAAGCTGAAAAAAACTCATGATCGACCTATTTCCTTTGTGTCTAAGTTTTTTAGAATTTGACCAAAACGAGATCATGAGCTCTTTCAAAATCCATGGTGCAATTTCGGTTTCAAGATTTAGAATAGTTCTTATTGTCAATATATATTCAGATAATTATTGGCCTTATAATATACGGATATTAGCTCATCAAGTAAACGAACGAAACTACTTATTGTTGGTTTCTTTGTTAGTTTGAAGAGCCAAAACATAAGAAAGTAAAATTACAGATTTGACTTTTGATTTGACTACAGATGTTCAGTGTGTCTTGGGGACTACCAAGCAAATGAGAAGCTTCAACAAATCCCACCATGTGGACACACTTTTCACATGGACTGTATAGATCTTTGGCTCACTTCCCACACAACTTGCCCTCTTTGTCGTCTCTCTCTTATCCCAGAATCTTCTCTAGACCGGTCCCAGCAAAACCCAGAGACTGTCTCTTCCATCAGTAACTCTGATGGAGGAGGAGCTTCAGCTCAACCAGAGTCCCAGTCAGTAAGCGAAATAGTAAATGACATCGATGATGGCCAAGAAGGTGACAACGATTGTACAGAGGTTTCTGAAGAAGCACAAGAGAATGATCAAAACAGCACAGGGAAATCTGTTGCTTGTTGTAACTGCAGGCTTGGTTAAAAAGCACAAAAACTCTTTCCCTTTTGATTATGTTTTGGTACATTATAAACTGTTTGTTGTTTTTCTTGAATCTGTGACTTGTAACCTCAGGGAAGTGAAGTAAGAAGATGATCCATCGAAAAATGGTGATTTTGTGATGCAAGATTGAAATCCACCAAAAAACTTATGATTACAACATAATCAAGATTCAATGCAGTACCGAAACTAAATGCAGATGGGTCTTAGCCTCCAAGAAAAATATCACATTAATGTGGTCTCTTTAAAAATTAATATTTTAATAATTAGTGATATGAAAATGTTTTGATCTATAAAATAATTTTCATATTTTAACTTTTTTAATCCCTAAACGTATTCAAATCCTAAAATGATTCTAATTTTAATCAAATTATATTCCTAAACTAATTCCATCCCTAACTAATTCCCCTAAACTAAACTTTTTAAAAATTACCTTGTCGTCTACGGAGAGAGGAGATTGAGAGACAAATGAGCAAGACAATGGGGTGGTTGGATTCGGCTTTATATAAGAAATTAGGTTTTGACGTAACATTGCGTAATGTTACGACGAAATAAAGACGACCTGCATTTTTAACGACGAAATAGGGATAACCCGCATTTTGTGTTACGATGAACTAAAGACGATCCGTATTTATGTGTTATGATGAATTAGTGATGACCCATGTTTTCGTGTTACAACAAATTAGGGAAGATCCATGTTTTTGGGTTACGACGAATTAGGGAACACCTTCTTTTCAGTTTACAACGAATTAGTGACGAACTAGGTGTTACGATGAATTAGGAACAACTCGTGTTTTCTTTTTATGACCCAGCTACGACGACTAAGGTTATACCTTAAAATCATAACACTAAACCTCTAAGCTGTAACTTCGTAAGTTTATGTATATACTTCTTATAATCCTTAAGTCCTAAATTCATAAGTTTTTGTTATGTGTTTCAAAAAAACATAACATTACATTTCATATAGTAACATAAATATGACATTGCATTTCATTATTATTTTAAAGATACATCTCTTACAAATATAATTTAACATAGAGTTTTCCATAGTTTTTATACGCAACTCACTCCTAGAACATATTGCAGGCAAGTCCAACCTTGAGTTTTTGTTATCTTTTGTATTTCCTAAGACGTGCAGTGATGATGTTATTGAAGAAGTTCATCTCTATATGCATCACATAAAGATTGTGTCGAAGAAGTAGATATTTCCAGTATTTAAGTTCCAAAAATATACTCTTCTTTTACCAGTTATATTGTGACCCATAATGATCAGGCATATTTGCAGAAATATTCCATTTACATCCCCATCGGACTATTTTTGGTGCGTCAAAGTAATCAATTTCCTTTTCGATTTCTGCGCCATTTAAATATGGTGGACCAGTGTTCCATACAGTCACTTTTGACCTTAATAGTGTCTTGTTTCTTCGGTATGATGTTGTCAGCTGTAATGCGTCTATCCTACTCATATAATAGGGACAAGATAATTTTCCATGGGTTATCCACCCAGATAACATCACGTATGCTGAAAAATCACTGATGGTATACAGTAGAACTACTCGCTTTGTAAAGTTTATTTTCGAAGAACAATCATCGTCTGCACCCTTGTTGACCACATTTTCTTTAACTCTTGTATCAAAGATTGTAGAAAAACATCAAGTGGCCGCATTGGATTCTTAAGGCCATGTATTAATATACTCATGAAAATGAATTTTCTTTCCACACACTTCTGTGGTGGAATGTTGTATGGCGTGAGGATTGCTAGCCAGAGCGAATACTGTCTTCCATACACTTCAAAAGGACAAAATCCATACGTGCAAAGCCTAAGATAAACGCTGTGAATGTTTCTAAAAATAGGATGTACTGAATTCAAGTGTTTCCACAGTTTTACATCTGAGGGATGATTGATCTTGCCATCCTTCAAAGTATGTTTGGCATGCCATCTCATCGCGCTTGCAGTCCTCTCAGATTAAGATAATCTCTTCATCTTATCAGTAATAGGTAGATACCACTTATGTTGGTATGGTACCCTATTCTGCCTACGTCCTTGTGGTTTATATCAGGTCTTCTTGCAAATCGGCACTCTGACAGCCAGGGCCGGTCTTTGTTTTGTTGAGGCTACAAGCCAAAAAAAGTTAATGTGGCTGGTTAGGTTTGAGCCCTTCACCTATAACAGAAGATAAATTTTCACTTTATCACCGGACTAAAGTTACTTTTATAACATTTAGTTGACGATATTTCTCTTAATAACATGAAGACTTGAAGCCCTTGCTTCATTGGCTTCTAGCAAGGGCTGGCTCTGCTGACAGCTCTAAATTTTTCATTTAGTTCACTATACACACATCTATCATCTCCAAAAATAAGTCAAGACTATAAACCAATTTGTAAATCTCATAATAAGAATTAGAAAACAAGTTATCTTCTTTAAAATACTTCATATCCTAAGGAGTGAATTACTCTCTCAAATAAGAGGTTCAATTGTAGTACTTAGGGATCGAATCCACAAGGAACTAAGGAACACAAAAGGTATAATCCTAAGTGATTATGCTAGGTTGATTAAGGTTTGAAAGTAAATTGCAGTTGTGAGCAATGGTGAGTTGCTCAAGAGAATTGGTTTAGGTTTTAAACAATTAAAGAAAGTAGTTAGATTCAAGGTTGTTATTCAGATAATCAGGATTATAATGCTACATTTGTCTTTATAAGTTGCTTGCAAGATATTAAAGAACTTCAACTCTTAGATAAGCTTATTAGCTGTCGCTATTAGACTCGTCCATTGATCTGACTGCCGGCAATATCGACCGATGGGTTTATAGCGATATCGGACGATATGGGTTGCCGTCGATCGATTACTCTATAGGAGTATCGATCGATATAGCTTCAGATCGAATTGAATATGTGTTCACCAAGATCATAGACCGGCTCTCATTTGTCCCTAGAGGATCTCAGCTTATACTAGATGATTTCAGTAAGATGATTTAACAAGTTAAATCATTCCATGATCATACTCTAGTTAGCTACTCTAGAGTAAGCATTAGGGTTCATCAGGATAATGAATATCACAACTCAACATTCCATAGTTGGGGCTAATCCCTCATAACTATTTGAACCCTAAATCTAACAAGTGAATCTACTCAGACATGGCTAAGTGATTCATAGCAGCAAGGTAATAATATAAATTCATTAGATTAGAAGATTGAACGCTTGGTTCTTTTGAACAACAAATCTCTTTGTGTGTTTCTTCTAAACCTAGAATTCTATAACCTTTTCTGAAAATGAGAATAAGATGAAAAGAATACTTTTATAAATCTAAGAACATAAAAAGCATGTAAAGCTTTAGAATTACAAAAATCATAAAAAGCATGTATAGCCAAAACACATAGGCATAACTATAAATATGAGTTCCATTAGGTTAAAAACTCGCCAGGGGCAATCTTGTAATATTGAGAGAACTTGGGCTTCAAGGCCGAGTAAAACTTGTTCTTCACGCTTCATATCGATCGATGGTACATGGTGTACATCGATCGATGGAGTATCTCAATTCGTCATCCTCTATGGAAGCGTCGTCGATCGATTACACAAGATGTGTATTGATCGATGTGTATCTCTGGATATCGACCTTATTGTCTGATCTTTAAAGTCATCTCGGGAAAAATCTCCTTTAAGTCCACAAGGGCACCTAAATCATCACTTTACTCCAAAATGCTCATGAACCTGAAAACATACCTAATAGACTCCAAAACATATATATATATATATATATATATATATTATAAAATTATATAAATACCATGGTTAAAAGTGAGTCAAAACCATGGTATATCAATACTCTTTAAACAACTTGGTCCATACATCCACGCAAACTTCAGGTAAACTATGATCAATTTTTATGTTCATCATCCTAGCTGCCAACTACAATTTAGAAATACCTTCTCTACAACCTTCATTGATTGGTTAATTCGCAGCGTCTAGCATTTCACAACACCTTTTTGCATTCAAGTTAGTTTTTTTTACATTATTTACTTATGTAGCTACCATTGAGGTTGTTTCGCGAAATGCATTTGTACACATATCATGCATCCAATCATGATCTACCATCTGATTCTTCCAATAGTAACTAGATTTGGTATGAAAATGACTGTGTTCTTAACTATGACCAATATCTTCAAAGTGACTACTATTACTAGCTTCATCCTGTCATGACCCTATCCATGTTGAATAAATCCTCTATTTACTAGATGTTCCCATATTGTTTCCTTACGAACAAATTTTGTATTCTTGAACTTGCACAAGGACAAAACATCTTACAGGTTTCCTACATGAGTGATGTATTTCAGCATGGTACATGAATATCTTTATCTCGTTGAAAAAATTATTTCTCATCATTCCATTTGAATCTTTATGTGCATACATTCAATTTCGTAAGTCGTAGATATTCTACCAAATGCCATCATTGTTTTGAAGCATTTTTTATTTTCTCTTTTTTTTAGTGGATGTTTAGGAAGAGGGGAGTAGCATATTTATAAGAAATTTCGAGTTAGGTGGGTATTTAACAACAAAAAGTATTTTAAGGATTAGTTTACAATTAATACTTCATTTTTAAGACACACAACATACATATTTTCACCAACCATACATTTTTTAGTCGTAATTTCGTCGTTAGTTTGATGCAAAATCCTCGGATATAATGAAGTCGTAGTTTAATAGCTACATTATGGCTAATGATATATGTCGTCCTTAAATAGTCGTAAAGTTACGCCAATTTTAAAATGAATTGTTTTAGTTTGAAATTATGTTAACTTTATGACGATTTTATATTTCATCGGATTGTTCTCTCGGCAGCGGCGCGAGAAATTGTTCTGAGGCTGCAACCACCACTAACCCTTCCGGGAGTCAAACTGACACTTCTTCTCAAGATTCAGTTTATGTCGACGATCCGGCGGTGCTCAATGATACTGCCCAAGATGGGGACTGCCCAGATAGGTTATGGTAGCTTGACTCAGATCGACCAAAGATATTGGCTCCTTAATAGC